TAAAATCACCACTTTTTGACCGCTTATATCTCCAGAACGGCTTGACCGATTTAAAATTTTTTTGGCTCAAATTACTCGTGGCGATGCCGCCTTTCAGGACATATGACGTTCGATTCAAAATTTTTTATATTTTAATAGTTATGCACCTCCCAAAAATGGACTTTGGTGGCTCGGGATAAGAGACTTGTAGCGTTCACAGTTTTTTTGAACATGGCCGGAGACGCTACCGCGTCTCCTGATAGTAATAGTTACATCAACAGGAAAGGCAGATTCTCTATACAGTTACAAGTAAGGAATATGAATATTTTTATTTATTATTTTAATTACAGTAAATATTATAAATTTTATGTTAAATGAATGAAAAAAAACAGTGAATTGTTTTAAAGTAACTCTAATATATTTCCTTTTTAGGTTATCTGTAAAGATGATTTATCCTTCATACATGTATTTGCTGGAATGCCAGGATGTGTACATGACATGCGAGTGTTTCTTTATTCTGGAGTGCAACAATATTGTACTCCGGAATATTTCCCTGAAGATAGCCATTTGTTAGGTGATGCGGCAAACAGTATACAAAAAAATGTCATGGTACCATTCAACGATAATGGTCATTTAACCAAAAAACAAAAAGAATTTAATCACTACTTGTCATCAGCTAGAATAACTGTAGAAAGGGCAATTGCATTATTGAAAGGAAGATGGCGTTATTTATTGGATAAATTGCCTATGACGCGAACGGATTTAATTCCATATTATATAGTTAGTTGTGTATTACACAACATTTGTTTATTAAATTATGGTACCATTGAAATTCCTATTGTTATACCTGACACATTACACATAATGGAACCACTAGCTATTACTAATGAATTAAAAGAGGAAGAAAATATAAAGAGAAACAGATTAATGGAAATAATTACAAACGATAACTTCTAAGACAGAAATTAATTAGTTTTATACAAGTATAAGTTTTGTATGTACGAGTTTTGTATAAGAATGTATTATATATGAACATGTTGAATAAAATACATATTTGATTATATATATATTTATGCATATTTATTTATATTTTTTCTTTTCATTTTTTCAAATAAAATTGAACAAAACATGTAAAACGACATTTTTAAATAAAAAGCTCCGGACGTAACAATGTTAGTTTCTTATTAATCCATACAAAATAAGAAATACATAAAGTTGAAACATTTAATAAATGAAATATGGTCTTATAAAAAAAAATTCCACTTTGAGCGTTATGGTCAACAATCTGACGATATCGTCTTTTTAAAGTATCCATTTTATTATAGCACTGATTGACTGTAAAATTATAATTTTTTTTTTGCTTTATATTTTGGCAAATTTTGGTCCACATCTTTTTGTGAGGAAATTTCCCTAGCATATAGGAGTTTTCTTTGTACAGAGATATCAGAAAAAGCGTAGCTTCATGTGTCCATATTTCATTTGATTCTAAAAAGAAAAAAGTAAATATAATAAATTTTTCTTATGTAATTGTATTTTCTATTTCTATAACTAGTTTAAACGTACCTAAATTTGGTACATCTGTTTCATCTTTATCATAATTTTCAATATCTGAGACGTCGTCATGTTGAATGGTACTTGTTTTTGAACACCTGGGCTTATCAATTATTGTCGAAGGTACTAATGAAGTAGAACGATATACATTAGGTTTGTCCTTTGAATTTAATGTTTTTGCTTTTCCTAAGAGCATATTAGCAAATTCAATATCTATAAAAATAAATAATAATATTAAACAAAAATATTTTTTACCACTTCATAGTTATAAATTTTAAGTGTTCCTGGCAATTTATTTTGTTATTAAATATTTTTTAATGACAACACTAAAAAAAATTATGCCGAAAATGTTATTAAATTCATATTACTCATATAATTATTTAAATCATGGTCAGGTAATTATAATTAACTATTTAATATTGAAGTAATACCTTCATAAGCACGATTATAATCTTCTTTCCCTACTTCTATTGTATATTCAATATTTGTTGATTCATCAAGCAATTTCAACATCAACAACTGTTGTCGATTGCATTTAACATGTGAAACTTTGGATTCCACAAATCGTTTCATTTTGTAATATGTGTACTTGTTTAACAGTAATGATGCAAAAAAGTCTGTAAATATATGTATATATATTATACTTAAGAAGCAATAATTTATAAATTTGTGAAAAATAATTTATAAAAATAATAAATTATAAGGCTCCATACCCACACGGAACAAAATATCTGTTAGATATCTATTCAATATCCTCATATCCATGAAGGGATATCCACAGAAATGTAATAGACATCTAGTAGACATTCTCTAAATATCCAAATGTCCGCAATTCGATATCTCAAAAATATCCATAAGATATCCAAAGGAATGTCTACTAGACATCCAGTTCACATCGAATAGATATGTACAGAAATATCCAATGTCCACTAGACATTCTGTTTACATCAAATAGATATCTATAAAAATATCCAATGTCCATTAGATATCCTGTTCACATCGAATAGATATCTACATAAGTATCCAATGTCCACTAAACATTCTGCTCACGTCAAATAGATATCTACAAAATATCCAATGTCCACTAGATATCCTGTTTATATCGAATAGTTATACATAAATATCCATTGCACTATATATTGATATCCATTATATATTTATATGGATGAGTATAGGATGCCTGGGCCCATATTCTGTACACGGCTATCGACAGTTATCAGTGTTGTTAAGTAGCAATAGCCAATAAGAATCGCACTTTTCTCCTAGAACAGTCCTTACCATTGGCTATCGCTATTTAACGACACTGACAACTGTCGGTAGATGTGTACAGAATATGGGCCCTGATGTAGGTTATCCATACAGCCTGTGTATAGCGGCCATATTTCACGTACGAACCGAACCGCTTCGGAAATAGCCGAAGCTGGCCGAATATGACGTATGCTTGTTGCCTGCGCAGTG